CTGTTCAGGGGTGGTTCTGGTTTGTGGAGCTGAATGCAATGTTTACTGCTGGAACAGCAGCTCTGCAAGAGCCTGCATCTTCCTGCCTGCCGGGTGTCCTTGGGCGAGCGAGCTGGGAGGAGAAGCTGTCCGTTTGTCCCCGAGCCGTCCCCTTGCCTTGTTTACCTCCCCCCTGCGCTGCTCAGGCTGCGGGATGAGTTTTCCCCGGGCTCAGTGGATCCATGCCTGGCTGAGCGGAGGCTGCAGCGCGGTGTTTACCTGCACAGCCATCTGCATTCACCTTCGGAGAGGTTACCTGCCTGCCGCCGGCGCCGAGCCAAGCTGCATCCAGCAGCAGGGCTGGTCCAGGGAGCAGAGCTCCATCCACCCCGGCCCCTCTTAGCTGGGGGGGCCAGGGAGGCTTCAGCACCCTCCATGCGGGACCCCAGGGAGGGTGGGTGCTTGGTTGATAGCGAGGACTGTCAAAACAGGTCCCAAAGTGGACCAGGGTGTGGACGGGTTTTCAGGGACAGGGGGACGGCCGCTGTCTCACTGACTCCCTGCCCAGCCGTCATCACTAGGATTATTTTGAAAATCAGGTTCCCAAAGCTGACAGTATGATTTCCAGGACCTGCGCCCTGCCTTTTGCACCCCTTTGTCACCCACAGAGCAGATGTCACCTGGTGTGCTGGCAGAGACGGGCCAGGGATGCTCTGTCACTCAGCAGCTCAGCGGAAAGCACCCGGCCGCATCCTGGCAGCAGGCAGGGTGCAGGAATGGGCATCCAGCCCCAGCCCCGGGGAACAACAGCAGCACCACAGGGCACAAAAAACCACACATCTCCCCAGCAGCCCTGAGACCCCAAAATACCTCTGCAGGACTGCATTATATGTAGGTAGCTGTATAATATATTGTTAAATCCTGAGCAGAATCATAATTTGCTGTAGCAGAGCCCTGAGTGGTGCACAGCTCCTGGCAGACAGATGAGACATGGGTTTTCCTAAGTTTAAAATAAACCAACTTACCTGCCCATGTTCTGCTGGGCTTTTTGTTCAGCCAATTTTCCCAATACCAAGAAAACAGTAAAAATAAGTGAAAGTATTTGTAGTTGTTTACTGCAGTTTCTAAAGAAAGTAAATGAAAATCACACCACTGCTTAGAAAATTATCCCCAAAACAAATCCCTCTGTTATATAAACATAAACCCACAACAATGTGGCAGAGCCTGATGATTATTTTATTTCAGGAGCTGTTTGGAACATCAGCTTCAAACCTGACCAAAGAGTGAAACAAGACCATCCACAGGGCAGTTTTCTAAATCTTTGCCTTAAAGCAAATATACTTGTCAATTAATAAAAAGGATTTGTAATAAACAGCAGTAGCTGTCCCATCTGCGTGGGGCTGGGAATTCCCCCCAGCAGCAAAGCAGTTTGGCTCGGGTGATCTCCGTGGTGTTCAACGTGCTGAGTGACAGGAACGTGATTTTTGTGGGTTTGTTCCCCAAAAAGAGGGGAGCGGGTGCTCATTAGTGTGGGGCTGGTAATTGCCCCCCCCCCCCGGCTATGACCCAGCAGTGAGCAGAAAGCGGAGGGAGGCTCCTCTCTCGGGCACGGTGCCCGGGACCACCTCGGTGCCTTCGATGCTGCTTCCTCTGCCGGCACCCGGGGGGGGCTGCGAAACCAGAGTTGGTTTGGCTGGGCTGGGGGCTGCAGGTCGTGTCCCATCTCCCCCCCACACACACATCACCCCCTGGGTTCCTGGCAGTGGGGCCAAGCGCTTTTGGGCACCGTGGGGCTGGGTCCTGCGCATGGGGCAAGTGTGGTTTCCCAATCACCCCCACTCCCTTGGGTCCTGGGGGGGAGGAAGAGGAGGAGGCGGCAGCCTGCCCCCCCTGGGAGCCATCCTCCTCCTCCTCCTCCTCCTCCTGCTCCTCTCCCCCATCCTCCCTCTGCCCTTGGCTTTGCTCTCTCTCAAGAGTGCCTGGGAGAAGAGAAACCTGGCTGTAAATTAGCCGGGAGGATTTTTCAGTCTGAGACGTGCACTCCCCCCCCCTGCAGCGCTGTTATTTCATCTCACGGCTGCCAAACTCCCGGGAATTAATCCCGGCCGGCTCTGACAGAGTTTACATTCAGCGCTGCTCAGATAAACCATATCAGCCTGTGCAGCTGAAGAGGAGCCGGGCGCGGAAGGAAGGGCTGGCTCCTGCTCAGTGTCAGCCCTGCCGGGGTGGGATTTTTTCGTGCTTTTTTTTTTTTTTTTTTTTTTTTCTCCTGGGGGTTTTGCTCTGAGCAAGGAGCCACCAAGAACCCCACACTAGTGAGGGTGGCCATAGGGTGGTTGGTACAGCAAAGCCGGGAGCTCCTGGCTCTTATCTCGATGCAGATACTGGAGAAGAAGGGACGTGTCCTTCAAACTGGTGGGAGCCTGCGGGCTCAATTTTCCGAGATTTCTCACCCTGTGCCACCCAGCACACAACAGAGGACTTCTCCTTACTGCCAGCTCCCGCGGGCTGGCTTTTAATAGGTATTTGTGCAGCACAGTTATTGCAAATTCCCTTTTTTAATCTCCTCCTTGCAGATGTATTTCTGTCTGTCTCTCACAGTAATCTCCTGGCTCTCCCCTTGGCTGTCACCGGGTGCTGGCAGGACACAGACACACGGTGAAGGTCCGTCACCTCTGAGCCAAATCTGCACCAGGTTTGCAGAGCTGCAATTCCCCCAGCACGGGGGAGGCATTGGGCAGGGAGCGCGGGACCCCGTGGCCAGCGGTGTGGGGCAGATGGGCTTTCCCGGGGCTGGAGCATGGGAGACAGGCTGGGAGCACCCCCCATGCCATGCCTTGGCTATCAAATTCTCTTTTCCCTCCATTTCCCAGCCCATAAAACATCACCGGGGCTGCCGAGGTGGTGTCCAAGAGCTGGATCTCTGCCAGCTCCCTTGGGTGAAGGGTGCCTCCTGGAAAGCAGCATCCCCAAGCTGTGACACTTGGAAACAAGATGGGGTCAGCCCCTCCCTGGGCACAGGGAAGCAGGAGGGTGTGAGCCCATCACCTGGGCCCCTCGGCTGATTTTCCAGTGCGCCACAAGCCTTGTCCTCCCATCCCATCTCCTTTTCCAGCAGCGCTTGCAGAGCACTGGCATGGCCACGGAGTCTGGGTCACGGCGTGATCGTCACAGCCACTCTGAAGTGACAGGACCTGGGGGTAAATATTAGTATGAAGTGAAGGCCTGTGCACATATTTTCTCCCTGCAAGGTAATGCTGAAATTCCAGGCTCCTTTTCAACAAGCCATCAGAAAAACCAGCCCCATGTCAGCACCCTCCAGCCATCGCTGGTTCCAGTTAGTCTCAGCCCAGTGTGCAAAGGTCTAAGAGCTTCAGGTCCCCCCAGCAACCTCCCCACTCCTGAGCTGGCCAGTCCTTTGGCTCGTGGTTTCCAAGCCAATGTTTCCCACCTGGAGCATAGCAGCGTGTGGGCTTTGCTGACCATTCACTTCTGCCGGGAAGTGTATCCAGGATGTGGCGGGGACTCTGAGGATGGCTTATTAATCGCATTAACAGCACCAAGAGGTTTCCCCCCCCCCCCAAAAAAAAAAGATGCAGTGCGAGAAGACAGATTGAACCAGGCAGTTATTCCCCTCCCCACGTGGGATGGCCTATGGTTCCCTTCTCCCTGGCTGTGGCTGGTTGGGCTTGCTTTGGCTACGTTGTAGGGGAAGAAATAGATTCCCCTTGCATGGCCATTCCAGTCCCTGTAGCCTGGGGACCCTAGACTAGCTCCAGTATCTTCCCATGCAAGAGCTACCCTGCCACATGCAGAGATGAAGAACATCACTGTTGTCCTTGGCCCCACAGGAGACAAGCCAGCATCGAGCTCCTCAAGACCCTGGGCAGCCTCCAAGGCACCAATCTCTACCCTCCTCCTTCTCAGATCCCACTGATCCCCCACCCCCAGCCTCAGACCAGGATCCTAAACTGGGATTACTTGCCTTAAAATTGCCTGTGGCCAGGTGCTGGTGGTTTCTACCACGCTGGTGGGATGAGCTTTCCCTTCCCTGAAAGCCCATTTGGACTTGTGCTGATGTACTTGGCATCCATAGAGAGGAAGGCAATAAAAAGGTTTGCTCGGATTTCTTTTCCAAGCCTTGCATCCCACGGAAACTGGGCTTATGGGACCATAACACACGTCTGTCTGTCTGTCCCTCCGTCCTCTGCCAACAACTTTGGAAAGGTTGGCCAGCGTCAACCGAATTTGACAGAGGTCTCCAATACATCGCAGGCCTGTTTTGCAAAAGAGGGAGCTGGAAGGACCCGTGGAGGGAAACCACAGTGTGACCCAACCATGCTGGGACCCATCCCACTGCAACGTGATTCAGCCGCAGCGAGAAGCACGGGAGGAGCCGCGTGGGACAGAGCCACGGAAAACTTGGCTCCTGCTGCTGTTTGTTATTTTTAAAGGCTGGGAACTGTCTCACAGTCCTTGGTGGTCGTGGTTGCTGAGTCTTGTGGCCATCACCACTGCAGGTTTCACATCCAGTCCTGCCCCGCTGCCTCCCGCAGAGGAGAGGACATCGCGTCTCGGCGCTGGCCCAGGTTCACATGCCGTGGGGGTGTGCGTCAGGCTTAGGACGTCTGTCAGGGAAAGTCCCTGGCCGGGCCCGTGCAGCTCATCCCCCCTGCATGCATTTAGGGCTGGCCAAGGCCTGGGAACAGCTCCTGATTCAAGCAGAGCCCCCAGAGGTTTGCACAACGTACCTGGAAGCCAAGAAAATATCCCGGAGGAGGAGGAGACCTTCCCCTTCTGACTTGAGCCCATTAGCGAGATGCCTCCGGCCACCTTTACCATCCTTGGTGCAGAAGAGCAGTGAAGGGCACATCTCCTCCCTTTGCTGCTGCTTTCCAGCCCCAAAGCTCGCTCTCTGGTGCCCTGGAGTGAGCAGGAGCTCACAGACCCATCTGGCCATGGGGCAGCTCCCCACATCCCCCCACCTCGCAGCCACCCCACCAGAAAGAAACCAAGAAGAGTTGGAGGGGTTTGATTGATTTATCCACTGAAGATACAAGTTTCAGTTTAATAACACCATTCTGTCCGGTTACAAACATACTAAAAACCTACAAAAAGAAAAACAAGTTACACCCATCGTACACGAAACGGCATGTATAAAACCAGCATGGAAGCGCCGAGAAACACGTACATGAACAGTATCTGCAGCAGTAACAGGAAAGACACGGAGTTACATCAGACCACGCCAGCTCATGTCTGTGGGTCACGGTGGGACTGGTTAAGACATACTAACAATTAGAGACAACTTCAGCTACGGAAAATAATTAGCGTCGCAGTCTGTTAAACAGGTCAGACCCAGGCGGGTAGTTTTATCCCTCCCTTTCTGTAAGTTGGTCCAAGTTTAGCTCACGGGTTTCCCTTCCACCCATCTGCCTGGCATCGCTGGTGCTGGCCCCGAGCAGTCACCGCACTGACATCAGGGCACCAGGGCGGCTTCCCCACGGCAAGGGGCAGGGACGGCTGAGCCCTGGCACCAGAGTCCAGCCAGCCAAAAATCTGGTCCCCTCTGAAGTCACTGGGCACCTCCCCAGAGAGCGGGGAGACGCTGGGATCCCCTTTACTGGGACAAACTGGAGCAAACTGGCAGAGATGCAAGAGGATTCCCCCGGGAGAGCCTGCAGCTTGGCTGCCTTGGGGATTTGTCTCGCCGTAAGAGATGATGAGGGTGGTGGCACAAGGTCCTTAAGGGTTCCTTGTCTGATCAGCTCTGGTGGCATTGGGGTGTCTCTCTAGCTGGCCGGGTGTATGTGGAGCTATACCTGCCTTGAGCGTTGGCCACGGTGGGGGGGGAACAGGGTGGACGGGACCTGTGTCCATCCCAGCCCAACACTTCTCATTCCCCCCAGCGCTGAGTTCCCTCTGACCAAAGGCAGTGTTGAACTTGGGGTGGGGGGACACAAGCCGGTTGATAGGAGCGGGTGTCCCCAGAGAGAGCCAGGATGAGGTGCTTGGGGGGAAGGACACCCTGCCACCAGAACACCAAACAACTCCCCCCCCCCTCCCCCCCAAACTTGGCATTCATCTGCTGCTGGCAGGGGGCACAAAGACTTTCCCACCCGGGTCCCAGGACCAAGCCCAGCCCTGATGCTAATGCAGAGGTGCTGAGCCAGGGGCCTCATCCTGCCCTGGTTAGAGGGGCGGCAGCTCTGAGCTGAGCTCGGCTGGCCTGCATGGGGGCAGCTGCAATGGCATGGGCATCCGAGAGGAGCAGAGCAAGTGGGAGCAGTCTGGCAGCATCCCTTGGGAAGGCAAATGGGGCTGGGGGACGTGGGGGTTCCCCCCAAGGCAGGGGAGGGACCAGCTGGTCCCCAGCATGTACCAGCACCAAGCCCTGAGCCCCCAGCTTCTCACTTGTGAATTTTGGGGGGGCAACTAAGTCAGTCCCTACCTGCCACCACCAAGGAGAGCAAAGCCAAGCCCAAAGAGCGGGTGGGCAGCGCCCATATCTCAGCCCCAGTGTGCTGGGAAAGGAAATGTGGAGCCTCAGTGAGCAGGGCCCAAAGGGAAGGGGGCATCAGGGGGTCCCTAGCCGGCTGCAGGGGGGTTCTGGGGGGGTCACAGTGGGGCTGGAAGTAACAGGGAGCAGCTGTGCAGGCGTGTGTGCCGGAGAGCCACGCTCAGAGCCAGGACTCGGCCTCCCTTTCTGCTCTTCCGCACTGCATTTATCAGCCCTGTCACTCCGGAATGGTATTTTTTCCTTTTTCTCTTCATTTTCATCTCTCCCCAGATGAGATTTTTCCCTGATTTAAGCAATGCCTCCTCTGCTGCGGGTGGCGAAGAGGGGGTGTTCGCTTTATCTCTGTCTCTCCCCCTTGCGAGCTCTGCCCTGGCCGCCCTCTCTGCTTCATTTTACTTCCTACAGAGCTGGTAAAAATAAACATGTTTTTGTTTGCATATATTTGACTGGCCTGTAATTTGGCTGATGGGGGGGCTCCTCAAGGGACAGCAGCTGCACGCATCTGGATTTGCTTTAGAAAAATGTGCCTGGAAAATTACCCAAGCCCAGCACACACACACGTGGGCGCACAAGGTCATGGGTCAGTTTTTTCTAGGGATGAAAAAAAAAAACAACAACAAAACCAAAGAAGAAACCTAGGCCTGTTCAAAGGTGGGGGGACACCTCACTGCTGCTCCCCCCGAAACCAAGGCACTCGGGTGCGTTGGGCATGAACACAGGGACTTTCCAGCCACCCCAAAATCACTTTCCTGCTGGCCATGACTGAGCCCAGTTTTGGTTGTGGGAAGGGAGAGGAAGGGTTTGGTTTGCAAAAATAAAATTCCCACCTGGAATATATTAACCTCAAAGGTTAATGTGTGAACTTCGAAGATGAAACCTCCCTGTACAGAAACATCCCTGGCCCAACATCCACAGAGCACGGGGAGTACATGAACTCATTAAAAATATGCGCTGCTGGCCCGGAGGTTTTGGCAGAAGTTGCTGGAGCTGTGTTCATGAGAGTCCTGTGATGCACCCAAAAAAAATATCTAACAGCCTTGCTCCAAGCAATCGCTCTCCAGTCTTGCACTGGCGCAATGGCAGTGACTGAACAGGTCTCATCCCATCTGCATGGGCCTAATCCTGACCCCAGCCAGGGGCTGCTGTTTGAAGGGTGCCTCCGCCAGCCACGCAAGGGATGAGCAGCTTTGACGTTCGGACATGAGCCGGAGGTATCAGCCTCTGGCACCTCACGGGTGCAGGCTGTTGGGCTGAATTTCGGGGGTGTTGGCTCTAAACAACAGCCCGCCCCACCAGTGAAGCGGCATCACTTGTCACCCTGAGCCTGTCCCTTCCTTTTATAAACTCCTTGACCTCACACGCTGCCATGCCAAGGACAGCCGTGCCCCGAGCAGTTATTTCCACCCAAGCCCCTGTGTCTGCCCAGGACGTGCCATCACTCCCAGCTCCATCACCCCTCTCCACCCATTTTACTGTGGGACACAGGGAGGGAAGAACTGCAAGGCCAGACAGAGCGGCTGTAGCGGCATTAGTGGAGTCCTGGGATTATTTCGGGACTAACCCCAGTCCTAGGGCTCTGCAGGAAGGTGAGGGGGCACTGGGGAAGGCAGCCAAGAGGTTTAGAGCCCTCCCCAAATTCCCTTTGCCCAGAGCCAGGACGCCAGACCCGGTGCTTGTCACCCCCCCAGCAGTGCCAGGGCTGGGGGACAGAGGAGCCCCCATTGGCACAGGAGCAAAACACCAGAAACAGGGGGAAAAAAACCAACCAACCAACCAACCAAAAAAAACCAACCCCAAAACACTATTCCCTGGGGATGATTAAAAGCACATATGAACTGGCTGCAGTAGACCAAAGCAGGAGTTTCTGGCTGGCTGCTCCAGAGGAGGGAGGTCAGTCCCGGGGAGAGTTACTGCTGCCCCCTCCAGCAGTGTCCCCACAGCGGGGGGGATGTCCCCAAGGCAGCCACAGGGATCCCAAGCCAACATCCAGGAGAGGAGCTGGTCTCTCGCAGAAAGCTGCCAGCTCTCCAGGGCAGTAGTGAAGTGAGGCCAGAGGAAATCTCAGAAGGGAACCCCGCCATGCACACTTCAATAGGTAACATTGTCCTTAATGCTAGAGCTCTAAAATTAGAGACATTTTGGGAAATACTGGGTGAAAAGGACGCCAAAGCTTCCTAAAACACCTGATGCTTCATCCCTAATCCTTTGCTGATCAGTCCCAAGAGCATCCTATAAATCAAAGCACGTGCGTGCAGGAGGCAACAGGGCTGCTCCTCCTCCCTTTTTTTTTGTAACCGAAGGGGCAAACTGAGGCAGAAGCCAAGCAGACTCGCCCACAGTTTCAGGAGGAGTCAGTGTTGGAGGCAGGATGAGTGGGGGCATTGCCAGGCACAGGCAGGAGCACTGCCGGCCCCGAGGAGGGACACAGCTCCTGCGTGGGTGGATTTCTACCAGGCACTTTATTTGAAGGAACCCAGTTTCACCAAGGGGGCAGGAATAGGCTCTATGCAACAAGTGATTTATGAATTTTAACAGAGCAGGGACTTTTCTTCTCACCCAGGAATCCCTCCTGCTACATCCACTTCATCCTTCCCGCTCCTGATCCCAGCTTGAACCCCTCTTCTCACCGAGCGGGGAGAACCTACACACGTCAGCTCCCAGGACAACGGCACAAGGTGTGCCACCCAAGCCCAGCCTCAGCACATCCCTGCTGCCCACGGGAGCTGAGGGGAGGTGGGTGGGCTCACCAGCAGCCTGAATCTGGCACAGGGATCCCACCTACACGCCGCGCTCCAAGCCACGAGGGGAAGCAGCCCAAAAGCATCCCTCTCCTTCCCCGCCTTCTAACGCTGGGGGAAGATGTCTCTCCCACCCCCTCGCTCCCACCAGCCCCAGGAGGGTTTGCAGCATCCAGCCAAGGAGAGAGACTCTGGGTGATGGGAGAGGCGAGGGCTGCTGCCAGCCCAGGGTGAGGCTACAGCCATCAGCCCTGCCACCCTGCCAGGTGGGTACAGAAAGTGCAAAGCAAAGCGGTTTTGGTGCCAGCCAGGCAGCCAGCGGTCCCTGTAAGCATTGCACCCCCAAAAGCAACGAGCCAGGTTGACCTGGGGGGCTTTTGCATGGAAAACAAGGGTCGTGTCGTTCATCAGCGGACGGGGCTGCACGTCACTGCTGTGCAACAGAGCTTGTGCAAGGGACTTGGAGTTGGCGCAAGCGAGGTGCAGGACTTTGGGAGGTGGTGATGGACAGGCCAGGACAGTAAGATGGAGCCAACAACCAATGCTCTCCCCTCACACTCTGCATCCCCTTCCAGCGTCCCCTACAACTGCTTCACCCCGACCCACCCACACCCTTCATGGTTCTATTTTTTTTTTTTTTTTTTTGGCTTATTTAGTTTGTTTTTAAACCCCATGGAGATCAAATTGTGACTTGGCAGCTAACACAGCTGGCCCTACCGGGCTCCCCAGACTGAGCGAAGATCTTGAGAAGAGACCAGAGTGAAGTCCTGGGGTGAGCGAAGCCCTCCCTGCCCCTCGCCTGGCCCTGCTGGCCGCTCACAGGGTGGCGGTGGGGTACTGCGCCCAGCCCACCTCCTTGTACGCCGCCGTCACATGGGTGTAGATGAGGGTCTTCATCTTGGTCCAGGCACCGTGTGCCTCCGGGGTGAAGTCGTTGGCGTATTCTTCAGCAATGACCTCCAGCATGACACCAGTGAGTTTCTGGAAGGAGGTGGACAGCAAAGGGTTAATAACTCTCCAGGGAGCAGCTAACAGCAAATGTAGGTTTTTCCTACAAAAAAAAAAAAAAAAAAGAAAGAAAAAAAAAACAAAACAAAACAAAAAAAAAAACAACAACCCAATTTAATCCTGTTGCTGAGTTCTGGGAATGACAGCCCTCTGTGAGACAAACAGAGGTTGGGAGAGGTCTGCTGACACCCCAAGAGAGGAGACGGGACTGGTTACCAGCCTGCCCTGGCAGGGGGGAGGCTGAGACCCCGGCAGTACGCCGTGCTGCTTGCAGGTTCGAGCCCCTCCCTAATTTGGGCACCTCAAATTATTTAGCCCCTTCTGTCATGCTTGATTTCTAAAAGAAGGGACATATGGCCACAACCACGCCGAGGGGCTGCGGGCAGGTGGCTTTCCCCAGGCAGGGGCGAGGTGCTCGATGCTCCCGCGTGGGCTGTGTTTGGGGATGGGGGGGGGGGGTCTGCGTGGGACAGCACATCAGTGGGGCACTGCAGCTACATGTGGAGCGACCCCCAAGACCAGCCAGCTTCTGCTCACCACTGCTCCCTCTCCCTAATTTCTAAAGAATCCCAGAGATTTATTTTTATTTGTTCCTATCCTTTACCTTAAAGTAGATGGGCTCCACTTTGTGCTTGAGGGCATGAGCCTTGCCCACCAGGGCCAGAACGGAGGAGACCTTTTCGGAGTCATTGAGGTTCTCCACCACAGTGTTAATGGCACCCATGACCCGCCGAGCGTGCTTACGCAGTTGCAAGCTCCTCTCCATCTCCAACGGGTCCTCCATGTGCTTGAACTGGCTGAAGTACTGCTTGGCCGAGGGGAAGTTGACAAAAAACCTTCAAGAAAGAATAGACACAAAATACCATCAGGAGGGTGAGCGCAGGCTGAGGGGTTAAAGCAAAGCATGGAGCGGTGGAGATGCTGGAAACCACCCACTTGCATCTAAAACAGCCACGGCTGGTTTTCTCCTTGAATTCCCCAGGAGCTGTGGCATTCAGCTGCCTAAAAATCAGCAGGTTAATGCCTTTCTCCCCAACCTTCCCTATCTGCTACAAGGGCATCACAGCCGGATATTCATCTACAAAGCAGAGGCAAGTCTGAGTTCTTGATACCCAGAGACCACCCAGGCATGCCAGATGCTGTGTACGTGCCCACATACATCAAAACCTCATGTCCTGTCTCAGAGAGCTGGAGATGAGCATGAAAAACCTCTCTTTATCCCAGCCAGCCTCTCCCTGCCCCTCTTCCCCAGTCCCACAGCAGCTTCCTGACCCCAGAGGCTTTATTGCTGCATTTCCACCCAGAATAGTGCCCCCCACGCCCAGACTGTCCCCTCCTTTCACAGATCACCAGTCTCCCACAAGATCCCAGCCCTGAGCTCACGTCCCTGCTCATCTCTGCCAGGAGCCATTTCCCCCAGCACGAAGATGCCCCCAACACCCAGCCAGCCCCTCTGTGGTGCTGAGGCCCCTCTTTTCTGCAGGATTAAATCAGCCCCGATGAAGCGCAGCTGAAGCAAATGAAGCTGTGGCTGCAGCTGATGAGCTGAGCTCCCCGGGGAGTGGGTTTGAAAGGCACAAGGAGATGGGGTTGCAGGGCTGGGGCCACCGATGCCAGCATTGCAGCCGGTGGCTCTCGGCAGCCAGGGCTGACACCCGAGTCACATTAACCACCCGCTTCCACCCAATTTACACAGGACAGAACCATGCCAGCGTTTGCTCCCCACTTTCACCCAGCTCCCTCCCTCTGACAGGGCCCCCCTTTGCCTGGACCAGTGAGGGATGCTCAGGAGGTGGCAGAAGGCTCTCAGAGCTGCCCCCCATCATCCCCACCCCCAGGCTGCCGTAACCCCCTCCCCAAGCACCATCCCAAACCACGTGAACGCATCCCACCTCTTTTCTCAACTATCACTACCTCCCTCCACGATCAGGTGGGATCCTCTTCCCTGCTCACCACTCCACATATATTTGCAATATTGAGGACCAGGCTCATTTACCACTTTGTTATCCTCCTTTTCCCCCCCTCACTTCCTTCCCCCGCTCCCTTGGCTTGCGAAAGCTTGGGGGCATTGCCAAGGAAGCGGCATGAAGCAGCGCCTGGAGTGCACCGCCGCTTCTGTTGCTTCCCTGAGGCATCTGGGATTCATCAGACGGCCCAAAATAGGTTTTGGAGGTGTGAAGAGTGTGTGGCAGAAAGGGTGGGGGAGGAAGGAAGGTGGAAGGGGGAGACAAGGTGTTGCTTTTAAAACCCGGAGGGGACCCGTGACAAAACTCCTCTTGTTATTGTGCAGCCTCCTCCCCGGCAAAGCTCCTTCTGACACATCTGGTCCCTGTCGAGAGAAATCATTCCCAGGCCCAGCTGTCTCCAGCTCCTGTCACCACCGAGATGCTCAGTCCATACCCTTCAGCTCGGCGCTGTCAGAGAGGTGGTCGGGGATGGACACCAGTCCCCTGGCCAGGGGATGGAGCCAGCCAGGGCCACACAGATAGCACCACTCCTAGCAGTCAAGTTTTCCTGACCTGAGCATTTCCCAACAGAAGGGCAAATGTTCCTCTCTGTTTTAATGGGGCCCTTTTGGCCATCCAGCCCCAGCATCCTTCTCCTCCCATCCCATCCCTCCCTACCTCTGCACAAGCTTCTGCAGCCCCCGACTCCGCAGCTCCAGCCGGCCCCCAAAATCAAAGCCCTCCAGCTATCGACAGCAGACACCCCACCGAGGTCGGAGCTAAGGGGTTTGCCATCCCTGCTAGCAGATCTTTTCCCCCTTGCCTTCTGGCTCTGGCAGGCATCCCCCTGGGCGCTGGGAGCAGGGGGTGCTGCTGGAAGTGGGATCTGCTGCCCACAGGCTACCCCAATGCAGAGGATGGAGGCTGCCAACTGGTCGGCGGCTGCCTAAGCCTCTGAATCCCAAACCATCGGAAGTTCCCTGAAAAGCCCTGTTTGATCTTTAGCTCAAGGGCATGATGTTGTGAAGACCCAGGGAATGAGCTGAGAAAAAATCGTGGTCTGAGCCAGGCTCTTTCAGCAGAAGGTGCACAGCATCACCAGGAATCGCAGCATCCCCCCGTCAAGAGAAGGGCTGAAAGATCTGCGGGGGCTGATGCCCTTCAAGAGCAGGAGCAGAGTCTTCACACCTCTCCTACAGCATCACCTCCACCTTCTCTGCCGCTTTCAGCCATCTACATCAGGAGCAAAGATTGATTAAACCCCAGGAAGTCCCCAGCCCGGGTGATCCCAGGCCAGTGAAGGATCTGAATATTTGCTTTCCAACCTTTCCCCACTTTGCAGACCCTTACGGTGATGCCCCGTGGGAGCTTTCCTCAGGGACCTGGGAGAAGAATGTAAAATCAGCAAACCCCCGGCTCGTGCTCATCCCTGTGTGCTGTCTGCTTGCTTTCATTGCTGGAGAACTGAAACCAAGGAGCCCAAACCATCTTGGCTTCAAGTCAAAAAGCAAATCTGTGGTCAGCCAGAGACCTGCAGCCGTGTCTCCTTGGCTAGTGCCTCCCCACAGGGCTGGGGAAAGGCAGGCGCCTGCAGCAAGAACTTCTGGCCTGGAGCAAATATTTGAGTTGTCGATCTGAGAAAAAGAGGGAAGGAGGCTCGCTCAGTGGTAGTTGTTAATAAACAGAGAAGATTAATTTAACACAAAGGTTAAATATAACCAGAGGAAGGGAGGAAAAAAAAAAAAAAAAAGAAGAAATAAAGTAACTCAAACAATAGCGAATTAGAAGAGGTGTCAGTTGGGGTTTTTCCATCTACAGAACATTTTTTGAGAGTTCAAACATCTCAGGCTCTGGAATTTTGTTGGCTCATTATGCGTGCATGTGTTTTGGGCTCTTTCTTCATCGGAGTCATTAAAAAGATGATATTTACCATTGCATATCACACAAAATGATGATTGATAGAAACCAGATGCCTCCATACCGATCTCATTAAATTTCTTTTTAAGTGATTCCATTCTGCACCCATTAATTTGTACTGTGAGCTACATCTGGACCCAATGGACAGGATGTCAGGATAGTTTTTCCTCTCTTTTTGCCCTTTTAACAACTTTAAGGACAAAACTGTCCCCAGTAGCAGAGCCAAAGGAAATAATTAAGGTGCAAAACCACTGCAGTCACTGGCAACTTGTTTTCTCTTCAGGAGGAGACACCACTTCTCCCATCTCCCCCCCCCCCGCCAGACCCCACAGAGCAAACCCCACATGGAGGAAACCTTCAATCCCAGCCACCTCCTTCCTTTCCCAGATAGAAAAAAGGAAGAAAGCTGCTCCCTTGGTCCCCCTGAGCACCTAAACCCTTGACCCTTCATTTACCCTGTTTGCAAACTGCAGGGCAGAAATGGCAGCAAGCACTTGAAGCTGTTGGGAGGCTTCAGCTGAACCCCCAGCCAGCACTTGTAGACTTTTTTGCTAGATTTTCCTACCAATGCGTGCATGCTTTCTCTCGCCTCGTCCCTCTACGTGGGAGAAACTCTCTCTAACGCAGCCTGGAGTCTCTCCGTGTCCCTTTTCAAACCTCTCCTTCCAACTCCTTTCTGCTCGGGTGCCTACAAAGCAGCTGATAATGGGTAGGCAGGTGGTGTGTGGTGCTGCTATTTATTATGCTGAGGGCTGTCTCACCGCTTCGCCTGCACGTTCCCCCTGCTCCTCCCAGCCACCTGTAGTCTATCATCCTATTTACAGGCTGGGGCAGGGTTCCTGGGTGCTGCCTGTATTTACAGCTCCCAGCCCAAGGTGAAAAAGGTCTCAGCCATGTCAATGCCACTGCCCAACAAGACAGAAAAAGGCAAATCTATAAGAGGATGGTGCCTGCTTACTCCTGCAGCACGGCTCTGTCCATGTCCTCTCTCCGAGGGCTCGCGGGCTGGTGATGGGCAGCACCTCCAGCTCCAGGGCTGGAGGGAAAAGGGCCAAGCCCCCGGTCTCCACACCGATGCTAAATTCAACTTCTGCAGCTGAGGGAACAGAGGTGTAGCTGGCCTGCCTCCAGGTGAAGCCCACATCCCGCTGCAAAGCCTCGGGAGCAGACTCTGGCATGATGCTGAGCCATGCTGGGAGGCCCTAAATCCCCGGGGCACCGCAGAGCCCCGGGGCAGAGGGACCAGGACACCCCAGGGAGGCTGGGAGAGGACCCAGCAGCAAAGATGCAGCCAAATACATCTGGGCATGAGCTGGCCACCCCCGGGAGCACGTCCTGCTCGCTCGTGTGTGCACAACTCACACCTCCAAGCCCTCATTGTTGTCATCTTCCCCTACCAGGTCTGTGGATTCAGCCCAAAGCCTCTTGGCTGCGTAGATGAGCCTTTAGGCTAGGAGTAAGGACAACTTTGATCAGATAAATGAATTAATGGCACCAAAGTGGCTTCCCCACACCCCTCCGGTTTCCTATGGCCCTTGAAATCCCCTTTGCTCAGTGCCTTCATCCATGGCATCATCCTCATCCTCCACAGGTGTGTCCCTGTCCCTCTACGCTGACAAACTGCTGTCCCTGCCTGCGTGCAGGGACGGCTGTGCCGGCCCCCTCCACCCCACCACCACCATCTCCCCCCACACCAGCCACCCTTCCTACAGCTCTGCCAAGGAGGGTCAGCATGGCCCCCCCAGGGGCCATGGATATTAGGAAATGATGCTAAAATGTGACTCTTGCCTCTGAGGCAGATGCACGGGGAGGATGGATGTTGCTGGAGCCCAACTGTGTGTCCCTGATGCCCAGGGACAGCAGAGGGGCTTAGGGGTGGAAGACAACCCCTGGCTGGGTAGAGGAGGGGTGACCCAGATTCACAACGACATGGTCTCTGTGTCAGGACCTGCCATCCACCCAGAAAAATCCGA